CTCAGAGCGTGGGAAGAGCTTCACGAAGTCCTCCCACCTGACCCAGCACTGGCTCATCCACCTGGGGGAGAAGCCGTATCAGTGTGTGGAGCGTGGGAAGAGCTTCCCCCAATCCTCCAATGTGGCCTGGCACCGGCTTGTTCACACAGGTGAGAAGCAGCATCAGTGCTCTGTTTGTGGGAAGAGCTTCACCCAACCCTCCAGCCTGGCCTGGCGCTAGCTCATCCACATAAAGAAAGCACATTAATGGTTAGTGTTGGAAATGTTTCCCCCACTTCTCCAAGCTGGCCTGGCACCAGTCCATCCACATACGGGTGCATCTGTAATGCTTCCAGCAGTGCAGAAAGGGCTTGGGGACGTATACCCGCTCAGCCCCTGCCAGTGTTTGCATCCAGGGAAGCAACCTCATGGTGGTGCAGTGCAGCAAGAGTTCACCCATTGTTCAGTCCTGATAGGGCACTGCAGAACCCAGAGGGCACAGTGACTCGATGCCAAGGTTTGATGCAGGGGATGGGATAAAAGGAAACCCTTCAGGCAGAGACCAGTCCAGATGCTGGGAGAACCTGTGAGATGACCTTTGCATCAGCCTTGGCGCTTGTGCCATCCCAGTCACTCTCTAAAAGCAGTCAGTGCTCCCAGGGAGAGAAGGGCTTTCACAGTAGGGTGCCCTCCCCAAGACAACTGGCTCCAACTGACACCCATGGACTGTCTGCAGCCAAATCTGAACTTAGTCCTTCCTCCTGCCCCCAGGCTCCTGGTATAGGAGGCTCTTGAATTGCAGGAAGGAGGACATTTATGGTGAGGAATCATTCCCTGCCTTCTACCCTGGCCTTGCCTTTCCTCTCTACCACATCACCCCTCTCCAAGGCCTGCACATGCCCATCATTGTCTGCAAGAAGCTCCCACTGCCGCCCCGTGAGCCCAGTTTGGCAGTTTTGTTTCTCAGCCCCTCGTCAGACCTGCACTACCCTGCCCCCTCCCCCCCACTTCACCACAGTCTCTATAATAGACTCTTTGCTAACCAAGCCCCACAACTGAGCACGGTATCCCTGTGGTTGGTCTCTATGTCCTCTCCAAAGCTGTGAAACGGGAACCGAGCAGGGCCCAGAATCTGTCTGTGATTTCCCAGCCCCTTCCCTTCCCAGAGGATTCACAATTCAGGAGTTGTTGTTCACCCTCAGGGGCAGGAGCTGGCCACACTCGAGGCATTGCACCCATGGACTGCTGTGCGGCCGGGACCTGCCCTTTTGGATGAACCTCTGCCAGGGCAAGTAGAGTAGCTCTTCTGGGTTTAATGCGATAGTAGGGGGAAAGGAGGTGCAGCGTGTGACAGGTCCTGCCTCTTTTGTGGAAGTGTGAAGAAAGTGTGAATGCATCCTGGGGGTGAAATGCAGCACGTTGTAACGTCCCATGGGGAATACTGAGGCTTCCCTGCTAGTGCCAAAGCCATTTGGCTCCATGAGTGTCCTGTAAGGCAAACTCCAAGAGGTTAATAACCCATCCTGGAGCACACTCATTCATTTCCATAATTGTCCTTTCTGCTGATACCCCGCAGTGTATTAAACCGCTCCCTCCCTTTCCCTATATTACAGCGTTTAAGAAAATAACCTTTTCACTTCTGAATGAACCTGAGTTTGGCAGGGGGGCTGGTTTGTCTTGTTGTTGGAGGTGACCACAGAAAGAAGAGAGGGAATGGGCATTTGTTCAACACATTTTGAATGTGCCTGTTTCTTGCTGCATTTCAGGGAGGCAGTTTCATAGTTTCATAGTAGTTAGGGTCAGGAGAAACCTGAACAGATCATCTAGCCCGCCCCCCCGCCACAGGCAGGAATGAAAGCTGGGTTCACAAGACCCCAGACAGGTGATCGTCCAACCTCCTCTTGAATTTGCCCAAGGTAGGGGCGAGGACCACTTCTCTGGGAAGTTGGTTCCAGATTTTGGCCACCCTAACTGTAAAATATTGCCTTCTGATCTCTAACCTAAAATTATTCTCCATCATCTTATGACCCTTGTTCCTCATCACCCCGGTTGAGGTTGGGGCAATGCATGTAGGTGAGGGGGTGTGTGTCACAGGAACTGAAATCCTGACAAACCCTTCCCAAGAGGGGAGCGTGGCTGCAAGTCAGTTCAGGTCTCCTGATGTTTCTTCACAAGGCCCGACTCCAAAGCCGGCTTCTTGAATGCAGTTCCCACTATTTTTTGTGACAGTCTTATGCAGAAGAGAAAGGTGCGTTACAGAAGAGCTGCATAAGGATCTGCTGTCAGGGCCCTGAGCAGGGTTGAACCGGAGCGCAGGGAGGCATCAAAGTCCACCAAAGCCCCTGCTGCCGGCTTCTCTCCCACGCCAGCTCCAGCAAGTGACCGAGAGCATGGGAAAGTCCCGCTGGGAGCCTGGGGATTTACTCAGGTCTCCGCTGACACCCGTGGCCACAGCCATTGTAGGCTCCAGTTCCTGTTGGCTGATGGCATTGCCACCAGGAGGGATAAAGGCACTAGATCCTCCCTTTTGATCTCTCTGCATCCTTGAAACATATATATATATATATATATCTCTCTCTCTCTATATATATATACACACACACACACACACACACACTACTCACACAAAAGCATTGGGTGAAGTAGGCCTGATTAGCACAAGTGTCCAGTGCATGAGCTCCTTATAGAAGCAGAACTTGACATGTCGTTCAGACGAAAGCTCCTGTCTCGAGATGAAAGGGGGAGATGGCGGTACAAGGTGAAGACTAGCCCAGCCTCAGGTGGAAACAGAGCTCCCAGACCAATATGTGAAATAAGCCCATAGCACAAGATGGCTCAAGATACCTGTGGAATGTAATAATTAATTTTTTGGATCACTGTATAAAAAGAAAATTAGAAAACATGGGACCTTTGTATTGGCCTAGGAGAGCCTACATGCTTTTGTACTGATACCTTATCAAAGGCACACACGCAATAGTATCTGTTGGCCCTGGATTTAGAACAAGATGCCTTATTCCAGGAGAGGGGACCTACTCTCAGACTGACCACAACCTTTCCATTCAATAATAGGCAAATATATTGAAATACAGTGATAACAGAAAAAAAACATTACAAGCAATCAAACAATTCTACATACGTCTACCACTTCTAGGACTGTCTTCAGTTAAGAAAAGTCAAGCCAGGATGCAGGTTTCGCTCTAAGGCTCTCTCTTGTGTGTCAGATGTCAGCATGTCAACAGCCAGGAGGTGGGATGCCAAGGCCCGCCCCGTCCCTCCCCTTTCCCCCACAGGGTGGATGAGATCTACTGGTGGTGTGCCCTCTGTCCAAGGTGGCTTTGGGGACCCCTCCCAGGGGACAGGGATGGGGATCCCTCTCAGGGACCCACTCAGAGGATGGGGAAGAGGAGGACCTGGGCCCTTTATTATGCTCAAGTCTCTGCTTTTTTATGCTTCTTTCTTCCTGATGACTCTTCATCCGTGGCTATCGCTGTTTGGTCTCTCTGTGTTAGTCACACTATGTTCTGTTTCATCAACGCAATCCAAGTCCACACATGCACACCCTTCCCACAAAGTAATTTTAGCCACACTTCTTTGGCCTTGTGAGCTGGTGCCACCTCATCTCATGTTATGGAACAGGGTGGTACATGCCCCCACTTTCCCAGGCTGTGTGTGTTTCTGTTGGCCTTGTTTTGTTAGACAGTCTGTCTGCTTCTGAAGGCTGAGAAATTGTGTGAGAGACCCAGGCTTTTAGAAATCAGTTAACCCCTGCTGCCTATCTTGAACCATTCTAATACATATATATATACACACCTATAAGTCAATTCCCAAAAAACAAAACTTTAAATACCACTTTCAAGCCATCAATATCTTGACTATCAGATCATAGCTGTGTTTGGTCCATGGTATGTAGACAATAAACTTGGCCAAACCTTTTCCAGTTCTTTAAGACACAATTGGTGTTGGGATCTCCTGGCTATGACTTTTTGACAGAACCACAGCTGTAGAGAATTCACCACTGAGAACAGATCAGTAACACTCAGTGAGGACGGCAACACCAGCACCATATATGACAGCAGTACTTCTGGTGCTACCTCACTTTCCAGCAAAGCAACAGGTTCCCAATATTAGTGCTCATACAGTTGAATCATAGAGTCATAAGGCATGTCTACACATGCATGAATGCACTTTTCCTGATGCACATTCAATTTAGTACCTCTAATATGAGTTTTGTTTTACCTCATGTTAAAGACAGGACACCTTGGAAGAAATGCTTGGCTTTTGAGAACCTGCCTTGTATCCGAAGGGTGACGGTAGGTGAGCAGTCATTGCTCCCTACCCCCTATCCCTCCTGTGTGAAATTTTTATTTGACATTAAAGTAACCCAGATTAAACTTTGGGAGTGAGTTAATCTTAAGCAAAGGGAGGCCACTTTCCCTGGGAAGAAAGTGATCCACATGTAGGGTTTCATGCAATTTAACAGATTCATTTTGCACTCGTAATGACAGCTTCATAGGACTAATTGTCTGAGTTATCCCTGCACAGGCAAGCCATGGCTGCTGTCCATGTCCACCCCTCCCCTCGGGCAACACTGAACAGGGGATGCAACAGGGCACGGTCTTCCTGCCCCCCTGTTCAGGGCTCTCTGGCCTGCTCCAGATACAGGAGGGGGATTCCTGGGGACTCCTGCCCAGCTACCCCCTGCCTGTGACCAAGTAACCTAAAGCATGGATTTGGTTAGGCACAGGGAGGCAGGTGGTTCAGTGTGGGAGCGCCCCCTGCAAACTGACCCGCCACAGGTCTTTCCTTAGGTATTCCCTCATTTTGAGCACTGATGTGGCTTTCCCCACCCCTGTGTGGATAAGCTGGTGCTAAGCCAGGTTGGAGGATTGGGTGAACTTTTGCCATTCCTCTCAGCACCAATGTGGCTTCTCTTTTGTGTGAATGACCTGGTCCTGGACCAGGTGGGAAAACTTGGTAACGCTCT